CATTAACATCCACGTGAGCACACCTTCCGGGCCATTAACATCCACGAGAGCACACCTTCCGGGCCATTAACATCCACGTGAGCGCGGCCATCATTACTCAGGTCAGGGTGGCACCGGATTGCGTGTGTGTCGCGTGTGCCTGCCTGGTCCACTTATCCGTACCCTGTTGGGGATGGGATGCGTTTGCATGCACTGCACGCTGCACCCCCTGTAATGTGCGCTTGGACACTCTTGTGTGTGTCGCATCCCACGTGGGCAGAACTCGCGCACGCCAGACATGATGGTGCACGGGGTGCGGCGGGACGGCAGTGCGGGCGGCCCGTGGGCAGGGGGGGTGACCATCGCACGGGTGGTGGCCTCGGTGGACTACAGCCGCCCCATCCGCCCCCGCTGGACCGCTACAGCCGGGCTCAACCTGCAGGTGTGGATTGACACGCCAAGGGCTTGGGGTCATCCGTTTTGCATGCTTGCCTTTCCTGAGAACCGATTTGTGCCTTCAAGCTGTGTTTCCCCTTGTTACGCTCCCCCGTCTTTCTCCCCCCACCTCCCTCCTTCCAGGCACGAAATAATAATAATAATAATCCCTCACTTTCCTCCCTCCTCTTATTTCGTTTTCATCTCTGGTTGATCTGGTCTCCATCCATCGCCCTGCCCACAGAGAGCAGGGGCGAGGGACGACCACGGCCACCCCAAGCTGGTTGATGCCTATGGCAGTCCGCTCACCTTCAGGTGATTCCTCAGAAGTTGCTCACCTTCAGGTGATTCCTCAGAAGTTGCTCACCTTCAGGTGATTCCTCAGAAGTTGCTCACCTTCAGGTGATTCTTCTGCTTTGCAGCACCTTAAGGTGCTCCTTGTTTGCGATTCTCGATGCGAGATTCGCGCCATTCCTCCCCACTTGTCATCCCCCTTCCCCTCCATCCTTCCATGGACCCTAACCCCCTCCTACACCCCCCAGTGGGCGGGCATCAGACGACATGCTGATAGCCAAGCTTGAGACGGTTTACACCGACTCAGGAGATAATGCCTCCTCACAGGTACGCCTCCTCACAGGTACGCCTCCTCACAGGTACGCCTGTATGCCGCTCAGCAGCTACAGGGGCCCCTGCTTCTCGTCCCCAGCCCGCTTCCCTCCCAACCCCTGCCTCGCCCATTCAGCTGGTAGTGGGTTGACGCACACCATGTCCCTTGCCCACCTGCATTATCCCTCCTCCCTTGTCCTGTCTCCCCCCAGGCCCCTTTGCTTACCTGTCCTCCTCAACACTTCAACTCCCCATCCCATATCTCTGCACATTCTCCCCACCCATTCTCCTCCGTCAACCCATCACTCCCCCCCACACCCGCTCTCGCGCTTCCTTTGAGCCTCCCTCCGCCCTCCCCCCACTAAGGTGGCACCTGGTGACAGCACAGAGCAAGCCATCTCCATCGCCCGCTGACCTACACTCGCTCTCCACTCTCAAACCCCCCAGAACTTCCGTTCTTTAACCTCAACCTTCACCCACCCCCTCTGGGACGGCAGCTCGTGTTGAGCAGGGAGCAGGCCACCCCATCATCGTCCACTTGCCAATACCCGATCTCAACCCATAAATCCCCCCATCCCTTGCCTCCTCAACCCCTCTCCCCCCGTTCCCCAGCTCTTGCTGAGCACGGAGCAGCCCATCCTCATCGCCAGCTTGCCTATACCCCCCTATCTCCCCCTCCTCCACCCCCCTGTTCCCCCATCCCGCCCCCCCTCACAGCTTGTGCTGAGCACGGAGCAGCCCATCCCCACTGCCCACTTGCCCGCAACCACTCTCCACTGCCCCCTCCCGTCCCTTTTCTCCCGTCCCTTATCTTCCATCCCTTATCTCCCGTCCCTTCTCTCCCGTCCCTTATCCCCCGTCCCTTATCTCCCGTCCCTTCTCTCCCGTCCCTTATCCCCCGTCCCTTATCTACCCCTCACAGCTCGTGCTGAGCACGGAGCAGGCCATCCCCATCGCCCACTTGCCTTTACCCATCCTTTCTCCCCCCCCCCCCACCCTCTTCCCCCCTCTCTTCTTCCCCTTTACCCAGCTCGTGCTGAGCACGGAGCAGGCCATCCCCATCGCCCACTTGCCTTTACCCATCCTTTCTCCCCCCCCCCCCACCCTCTTCCCCCCTCTCTTCTTCCCCTTTACCCAGCTCGTGCTGAGCACGGAGCAGGCCATCCCCATCGCCCACTTGCCTTTACCCATCCTTTCTCCCCCCCCCCCACCCTCTTCCCCCCTCTCTTCTTCCCCTTTACCCAGCTCGTGCTGAGCACGGAGCAGGCCATCCCCATCGCCCACTTGCCTTTACCCATCCTTTCTCCCCCCCCCCCCACCCTCTTCCCCCCTCTCTTCTTCCCCTTTACCCAGCTCGTGCTGAGCACGGAGCAGGCCATCCCCATCGCCCACTTGCCTTTACCCATCCTTTCTCCCCCCCCCCCCCCACCCTCTTCCCCCCTCTCTTCTTCCCCTTTACCCAGCTCGTGCTGAGCACGGAGCAGGCCATCCCCATCGCCCACTTGCCTTTACCCATCCTTTCTCCCCCCCCCCCCACCCTCTTCCCCCCTCTCTTCTTCCCCTTTACCCAGCTCGTGCTGAGCACGGAGCAGGCCATCCCCATCGCCCACTTGCCTTTACCCATCCTTTCTCCCCCCCCCCCCCACCCTCTTCCCCCCTCTCTTCTTCCCCTTTACCCAGCTCGTGCTGAGCACGGAGCAGGCCATCCCCATCGCCCACTTGCCTTTACCCATCCTTTCTCCCCCCCCCCCCCACCCTCTTCCCCCCTCTCTTCTTCCCCTTTACCCAGCTCGTGCTGAGCACGGAGCAGGCCATCCCCATCGCCCACTTGCCTTTACCCATCCTTTCTCCCCCCCCCCCCCACCCTCTTCCCCCCTCTCTTCTTCCCCTTTACCCAGCTCGTGCTGAGCACGGAGCAGGCCATCCCCATCGCCCACTTGCCTTTACCCATCCTTTCTCCCCCCCCCCCCCACCCTCTTCCCCCCTCTCTTCTTCCCCTTTACCCAGCTCGTGCTGAGCACGGAGCAGGCCATCCCCATCGCCCACTTGCCTTTACCCATCCTTTCTCCCCCCCCCCCCACCCTCTTCCCCCCTCTCTTCTTCCCCTTTACCCAGCTCGTGCTGAGCACGGAGCAGGCCATCCCCATCGCCTAGTTGCCTTTACCCATCCTTTCTCCCCCCCCCCCCACCCTCTTCCCCCCTCTCTTCTTCCCCTTTACCCAGCTCGTGCTGAGCACGGAGCAGGCCATCCCCATCGCCCACTTGCCTTTACCCATCCTTTCTCCCCCCCCCCCCACCCTCTTCCCCCCTCTCGTCTTCCCCTGTACACAGCTCGTGCTGAGCACGGAGCAGGCCATCCCCATCGCGCCCGACTGGCTCTGCTTCAACCGCATCAACGCCCGCGCGCGTAACGGCTTCCGCATCGCCCATGCTCGCCTCATCGGCAGGTGGGTTGCGAGATGGGGCATTGGCAGGGGGGGTTGCTGGGCAGGGGGCATGCGTGCTCGTTGCCAGGCAGAGCTGTTTGGGGTGAATGGGTGCATTCACTTGCATGGCCGTGGATTCAAGATGGGACTCTCCATACCGTACTAGCCCGACTGTCTTCTTTCACGCTTCCACTTCCCTCCCTCTCTCTACTCGCCATCCACCTCTCCACTGTCCTCGCCCCTCCCTTTCCCCTCACCCCTCCTGTGCCATCAGCTTCTCAGGCGGCACGGTGGTGGGCGACCTGGCGCCACACGAGGCGTTCCCCATCGGCGGCACCAACAGCGTGCGCGGATATGACGAGGGCGCTGTGGGGTCGGGGCGATCCTACATCGTCACCAGCGGGGAGATCTCCTTCCCCATGGTAACCGCATGCTCTTCCCCCTCGTCCTCCTGTCTCCTTCCCCATGGTAACCGCATGCTCTTCCCCCTCGTCCTCCTGTCTCCTTCCCCATGGTAACCGCATGCTCTTCCCCCTCGTCCTCCTGTCTCCTCCCCCATGGTAACCCCCTCCTCTTCCCCTCGCATCGCGTCTTGTACACCCAACCCACGTATCACACATGTATGTGAAGATAAGAGACCACACAAGCCTGGTGCTTCGTTTCCTATCTCTGACTCTGCTTTCCACTCCCTCTCTACCCAAACACACCCCCCCCACACCCCCCCCTGTTTGTTTTCTTCCTTGTCTGCTTACTGTGATGCTATTCGAGTCACTCCAGCGCACCCCTACTCTCACTCACCCACCCAGCATAATCGAACTTTTCGCATGACCTCATCTTCTCTCGTTTCCCGCTGCACATGGAGCCGCCATGCACAATGCTGGCCATGCCTTTCTCACCGGCCCACTGCTCCCATCACCCTCCCACTCCCCCCCCTTCCCTCCACGCCACCTGCAGTTTGGCCCACTAGAGGGTGCCTTCTTTGCCGACTATGGCACCGACCTAGGCTCGGGTGCCACTGTGCTAGGTACGGCGATGGTTCTGCAGGTGAGAGAATGCGGGGGGGTCAAGCTGGTTAGTTGTAAGCACTTGTAGTGAGACAATAATCTTCCAGGTGTTGCCACGCATATCTTCTTAGATTGCCCCTGATGCAAAGCAAATGCACCGTTTGTACCCTTCTCTCCTCTGCATACTTCATGGTTTCCCCTTTCCCTCGTTATGTGTCATGCATATTACCATCATACAAACCCCTCTCCCGTCCCCATGCGACCCCAACAGGGACATGTGGCAAGCCTGGGCTTTGGGCTGGACATTGGGCTGGCACATAGCGTTTTCTTTATTTGTATTGGCTAATCCCATATCATTAATATTACCACCATTTTAACCCCTCTCCCTTCCCCAGGTGACCCAGCAGGGGCACGGGGCAAGCCAGGGAGGGGCTTTGGGCTGGGCGCGGGGGTGCGGGTGGACTCACCGCTGGGCCCTCTGCGCCTGGAGTATGCGTTCAATGACCAGAAGATCCCTCGCTTCCACTTTGGCATTGGCTACCGCAACTAGAGTAGAGTAGAGCAGCAGGCCTCATATATCAGGCTTTTTACCCTGATTTGACTGATTTTTTGTTTACCGAGCTGACTTGTCAGCCTTATTTCCTAAAACTCGAGCTCCCCATGGTATTTTTTCAAGTTATGTGTCCTTCAAATAGTTTGGTGAATGGGTGTGCGAAACCTATTTCGGTTGTGTGGCTTTGGCGAGATCAAGATTCTTACGTGAGCAAGTGAACATTTCGCGCACACCCAATTTGCGAATCCCACCAACCCAAAGCGATAAGTGTGTCACATGCAGGCCCTACGATACCGTCATCACCAGGATATACCGTAAGACAATGTTGAATTGAAGACATGGGGTGTCTATTATCCGGGTGTCTCTTATAAACGGGGTAGCCTCATTATAAGACACCTATTTGTGTGTACGTCAGGCCCTCAGATTGGTTTGATTGAGGGTATGCTGATGGATCAGCGTGCCCCGGCCAACAAGGTGTCCAAATCAGCGTTCACGGTTTCTTTTATACTGATTTTGCCAGTGTAAAAATCATGGAGGTCCCTAAGGGGGGAGGGGGTCTACCGGAGGGGGACCTGGAGCGAGGAAAAGCGGCGGGGGAGGGAGAGGGGCACTGTGGTAGGGGAAGAGACGGTAGAAAGGAACCGACTCGTCAAAGGTGACGTCTTGGGAGGGGAAGACACGGCGCGAGGTGGGATGGTAAAACTGCCAGCCAGACGCGTCAGGGACAAAGCCAAGGAAGACACAGGGAATGGTGTGGGGGGAGAGCTTGTCCGCGGACGTATCGCGGACAAGGGCACGAGCACCCCAGACTCGGAAGCGCGACGCATCGCCAACCTCCCCCATCCAACGCAGTGTGGGCGAGGTCTCTGGCAAGGAGACATGGGGCCAGAGGTTGAGCTGCCGCGCGGCGTACCGGACCGCAAACGGCCACAGAAAATGAATAGCCGCTACATGGATCAAGGAGGTACGAGCGACCTCCATGACTAAGCCAATGCGGCGCCCAGCAACCCCATTTTGCTGCGCTGAGCCCGGAAGTGTGAACGACTGCTCGATCCCCTTCCCCCTCAAGAGGTCGGAGGTGAACTCACCACCTCTGTCAGAGTGCAGACGCAGGACAGGCAGGTCCTGGCGGAACCTGCGGCGGAGCTGGAGACGAACTGCTCGGATCCAAGGGATCAGGACAGCAGGGACCTCACCCTTGGTGCGCAAGGGGAAGACCGTGGTGTAACGCGGGTAGTCGTCGACAACCAGCAGAAAATACCGCTCACCACCCTGTCCACGAACGTGGGCTGGGCCCCACACGTCCAGGTGGAGGGTCTGCAGACGAGCCTCTGTCGGGGGAAACGAGGAGGAGTGAGGAGCGGCGCGCTGCCGCCCCTCGACGCAAGGAAGGCAGGGCGGCGCAGGCGAGGCAGGGAGGGGAGGGAGAGACCTGGGAAGACCAGACGCAAGGAGACGACGGTGCATGCCACGGAGACGTGGCAAGGAGGGGTGACCCAGGCGGTGGTGCCAGAGAAGAGTCTGGTGCGACAGGGAGCGACACTCACAAGGGGAGGCTACCTGACCAGACGCAGACACCTGACCAGTAGTAGCTACCTGAGGAGGCGCATTCGTGAGTGTGTAAAGACTCGACCCTGGCCGACGGGTAAACGTGGCCAGGTGGCGGCCGGTCTTGGAGCACGTACAGATCGCCACACGCTGCCGACCAGGGGTGAAGGTGTCAACCCCCACATCCTGGAGGACAGCAGTGCTCACCAAGTTTGTAGAGAACGAGGGGAGGTGGAGACCTGACAGTGAGCCAGACGGAACCGCCGGGCACGGGAGCACAGTGGTGGACCGTGCAAGAACTGGGCCCCTTGAGGGGTCAGCCAGAGAGACTGCAACAGGTGCAGGGAGTGGTGTGAGTGCAGTATTGTCACGAAAGAAGCAGCGGGAAGCACCTGAGTCAAGCGTGAAGGTGTGCAAGGCCTCAGCAGGCGCAGTACCTGAGAGAGCAGACTCGCCAACACCTAAGGCAGCAGCCTCACCAGCACCTAGAGTACCAGTCTCTATACAGGGGTCAGGCGGTACACACAAGAAACAGTCTCCATCAGCACTAATCTCCAATGCATACATGGCAGAAATAATAGCATCATAGTCAAGAGCAAAGATGTCTACACCATCCCAAGCAGCTCATACCAGCGAGGGCGCTCAGCGTCCTCGCCCATCTCTTCACGCCAGGCGTCGTCAAGGCGGGAGAAGCAGCGGTGCTGGGTGTGGAACTTCCCACATGTCTGACCCTTGCGGTCACCTGTGCGAATGACATACGGGCAGCGACCACCACCCCCATACCTCCCATGCTGAGCAAGCCACTCACGAAGCTGCTGGGTCGTCTGGGGACTCTGCTGCTGCTTCTGTCTCTGACCAGCGCCCGTGCCTCTACCCCGACCGCCAGCACCGCCCCGGCCGCCACCGCGGCTGCCATCCCCTCTGCCGCCACCGCCTCCACCGCCGCTACCGACGCTACCACTCCCGCCAGCACCCCCGCCACCACTCCCTCCGCCACCTCCTCCTCCTCCACCGCCCCCACCACCACCCCCCCCCTGTGCCACCTCCACTACCCTTGGCTCCCTTGCCCTTGCCGTTGCGGAGCCTCCCACTAGGAGCAGAAGCAGCACCAGCAGACTCAGCACCAAGGAGGTCAACAGCAGCAACAGTAGCAAAGGAGGGGGCGAGGGGAGAGGGAGAGCACCCCTCAAATATGGGGGTGCGAGGAGCGCCAAGAGAAGCAGCAACAACGACAATGCTCTTCACTGCTGCAAGGAGGTGCTGCTCTAGGAGGTCGACAGTGAGTTCGGTGGGACAGCGAGCGAGAAAGTGGTCCCAAACCGAGCTAAGAGAGTCAGGGAGACGGGTGACTATGAAGTGGAGGTTCTAGTACATCGGAGGCGGGTGCGTAGCACAGAATTCTTTGGGGAGGGCGGCGCGAAGGCGGGTGTCACTAGTGCGAAGGTGGGTAATGAGATCGGCAACTGTGGCAAAGGTGGACAGCTCAGGAAATAGGTAGGGCAGCATGAGGCGGCTAAGCTCAGCTGCGGCAGGGGAGGAGTATCAAGCCACTACAGCGTCGTAAAGGGCCTTAGCAGTCTTGTGCTCGCCAAAATGCGTGAGCTCAGCTATCGGAAGGTGATTGCGAACGGCTAGGCGCGCAGCAGCATCACGAGTTTGCTACTGGGAACGGGCGCAAGCTCAACTATGGCAGCAGGAGCGACTGAGGCACCAGACGTGTGGTCAAAGAGAGAGACGTTATCCTTGCAATCGCTCATTAAGAACAGCTGCAGGTCATCGAGCCAGGTCTCAAACTGAATCGGGCGGCCCTCAGCATCGAACGACAGAACGCGAAGGGTGGCCATAGCTGCTGGCGCGGGACTGGTATGGCAGAGCGATTGCATGCAAGCAGCAGTAGCACTAGCAGCTGTAGAAACCTAATGCCAGGGCCCTAGGCAGCGTGGCGCGGCTCAGGCGGTGCGACGCGGCTCGGGCGGTGCGACGCGGCTCAGGCGGTGCGGCGCGGCTCGGGCGGTGTGACGCGGTTCGGGCGGTGCGGCGTGGCTCGGGCACGGCGGGGCAGTGCGGCGCTGGCAGCAGCAGCAGCGTAGCAGCGGCTGCAGCGCTGGCAGGGCGGGCAGGGCGCAGGGCAGCGCGGGCAGGGCGCTTAGGGCAGGGCGCAGCTGGCAGCCACGGCAGCAGGGCAGGCGGCGCACAAGGCTTCTGCAGGCAGCCGCGGTAGAGGCAGGCGGCGCGCGGGGCTACAGGCGGCCGGCAAGGCAGCAGGGCGGGCCGTGCGTAGGGCGTAGCAAGCAGCTGCAGCAGTAGCAGGGCGGGCGCACGGGGCTGCGTGGCAGCGCGACGGGCAGCTTGCGGGGCGCGCGGGCTGCAGGCAGGCGGCGCACGGGCTAGCAGGAGCTGCGCGCGGGCTGCGCGGACAGCGGGCGGGTCGCGCGGGCTACTGGCGGGCGGTGGGTGGGCCAGCAGAGGCGACGCGCGGGCCAGCAGAGGCGACGCGGGGGCCGCGCGGGACTAGGGCAGGGCAGAGCGCGGGGTAGCGCGATTCGGGCAGGTGGTAGGTGGTGGGCCCGAAAAAACTCTGTCCTAAGGTCCTAAGACCCTACGTGCTCTCAATACCATGTGAAATTAGGTAGCTAGGAATGATGGATTACGAGAGAGTTTTTTGGTACAAGATGAGAACCCTGAGGGGTTATACCCCATATTTGCTACTCCACTACAGCCTACAAGTACTAACATCATATATATAGTTTGACAACGGTAAGTAAACTGAACCAACAGTGTAATAGCAAAAAACTATAGCTGAAACACCAGTACAAGGTGTGTGGTGTTGTTGTTGTGATAGGTTCCAGCGAGGCTAAACATTTCGGCGCACACAGTCAAAGCATATATGCTGTTTTAGGCCATATGGGTGTTAGCACTAGGGGGTACAAAATTTCTCTCTATGTTGTTCATGTACCCCTCCCCCTTGATCTAATCATCAACCATTCTCCTTGCCTAGTCTCGACATGGTGTAGAGCAGGTCCTTCCTAAGGACCATTTTTTTTTAGGGCCAACCGCTTAGAATTCTTGCCGGAAATTCTGCCCTGCCCTGCCCTTCCCCGTGCCTTCTTGCTGCCCTGCCCTGCCGCACGCGCAGTCCGTACAGCCCGCGCCAAGCCCGTTTAGCCCGCGAACCGCCCGCGCATAGCCCGTACAGCCCGCGCGCCGCCCTCACGCAGCCCATACAGCCCGCGCGCCGCCCTCGCGCAGCCCATACAGCCCGCCGCCCTCGCGCAGCCCATACAGCCCGCGCGCCGCGCGTGTGCAGCTCGTACAGTCAGCGCAAGGCCCGCACGCAGCCCGTACAGCCCGCGCCAGACCCGCACACAGCCCATACAGCCCGCGCCAGGCCCGCGCGCAGCCAGTACAGCCTGCGCCAGGCCCGCGCGCAGTCCGTACAGCCCGCGCCA